CCGCCTGGCTGCCACCTGCACTGCGAAGCGGATCAATGAAAGATCAGCAGCTGCACGTGGGTTCGGGCTCCGGGGGCGGTGGCCGGCAGCTCTGACCAATCGCGAGGCCGCTTACCCACGTGTGCCACGGCCGCCGTCGTTGATTGGGCGGCTCTCCCCGGCAGCCTGCAGTACTGTCAATCAACGCACCCGGGGAGGCAGTTTAACCCTTGCGGTCCTATAGCTAGGAGGGGCAGAATGCAGAGCCGCAGAGTTTGCGGTGCAGACGAGGGCGAGGATATTTAGAAGAGCATGGAGCTTGGGGTCAGAAGGTGCAAGTTGGGGAGGGGCTGGGTGGCGTGTGGTTGCATTGTTTGGTGAGAAGCCTGGTAATTTTTCGGGATGCCCAGAAGCTGCTTAGGGCCGGAGATGGCGGGTGGGGGCTGGCACTTGGAATGGGGGAAGTCTTTAACACTCTCACTCTAATCCTTAGATATGGGCTAATAACGTTTTCATGATATTAAATAATGTGCAATGCAAACGAAGCTTCTAGCTCCCTTTCTGAGGAAAACTTAACAGCTCCCTTTTATCCAGTTTCCCTGAGCCAAGCCCCAGGCTACGCATTTTATCAGGAATTTTCCCAACTGCCCTCCAAGCCCAGAGACTGAAGATCTGAGAACTGAAAGCAGATACTGCAAAGGCCTTGAGGCTGGTACACATTTTTCCAGGAGGTTCAAGGCCAAGGTGGGAAGGAGTGGTGGGTATTCTAGGCCTAGGGTTATGTCAGTGAAAAGTAGGTGGGAGATTGTAGGGGGCTGTCAGGGATTCTAGAGTTCTGTTTTGGCCTTTTTTGAAATGCCTACTCAAGATATGAAGTGGTCAGTCTGGAGTTTCAGAGTGAGAGCTCAAGTTTCTGCCTACCCCAGGACCTTTGCACTAGCTATTCCCTCTGCCAGGCATAGTCTCCTATCTGACAGCCACTGACTCACTCCCTCGCGTTCAGCCCTGGCTCAGAGGTCACCACCTCAGCAAGACCTCCATTCTCCCTTTCTTATTTTATTCACTCCAAATATGGTTTGAGTGGGAGTTAATCTTATTTTAATCTCAGTGGCTCTAAGCCCTGTTATGTCCAAAATTCACATAATACCAACAGGACTCTAATACATTCTCACAACTGGCCAAAGGCTCCTGGGCTGGTGTGCTGGCTTGGGATCCACATGAACCAGAGGTCTCCCATTTTCCCTGATCTGTGCTACTAGGGGGAAACTGAGGGTTCAGATCTTGGGATGTGTAGCCCTGAGAGGTTCTGATGTAAACACATAACTTGGGTTTTGTGGCTGGTCTATGGAAGAGAAAGTGAGGGCTGCCATGTATGAACCGCAAAATAGGTTTTCACTCATGATCCCTCAACTGGCCCTTAATTGAAGTGTATTTTATTTATGGTCCAACCTGCTAATTGCCTCCCTCTGTGAGCCTGGCTCTCCTTCTCTCTGTGGTTGTAGACTTTCAGCTGAGCACACTAGTTCATTCAAAGCTGGCTTGTCTCATCTGGTTTCTGCTGGGTACCTGTTGTTGCTTCAAATGATTACAATTAAATAAAATTGAAAACTCAGTTTCTCACTGGTCGCATGTCAATTGCTCAGTGGTCACATGTGGCTGGGGACTGTCTGCATTGGGCGGCACAGATGTAGACTATTCCCATCACTGTAGAAAGTTCCACTGGACGGCATAGATTTGAGGTGCTTCAAAAAGAAAAATTCTATGTCCATGTAGAAACTGGAAGCATTTTATGGCAGCCATTCCATTCTCACTTGTTGAAAGCCCTGTGTGCCAGGTTGGGTAATATTTGGAACTTTTGCTGGTGTTTGCTCCCTGCTGGCTCTTTCTTTTACTGTCCCCTGCCTGCCCCAGCCTGGCTAGCCAGGGATGCAGACTCCTGGAGCTCTGGGGAGGGGGATGGATGACACAACAGAGAGGAGAGGAGGAAGCACAGATTTCCTTCTTGGCTTCTGAGCTATGCTTTCCTTGGTGGAAATCCAAGGTCTGGATGAAAGTTTGAGAGAAAAGAGGTTTGCATTTTCAAAGCTTTGGACTTTCCTGGGCCTGTCCTGGAGACCTCAGACCTGGTGCCTCAGGGCCCCAGGATCACCTGGGTTGAGTGTGGACCAGACCCAGAGGTCAAGAGAAAGCCCAGGGTGGAGAGAGGGCTGTGGAGTAACCGCAGTGTGGACAAAAAGGGGCCACATGCTAAACCTGACAAGCTCAGGGAAGGCCTGCATGGTGACCTTGCAAACTGCGGGACCTAAAGGATGGTCTGAAATTAAAACTTTTTAAACTAAAAGCAGCTTATGGTGGGTAGTCAAGTTGTAAGGCAGTATTTTTCCCTAACAAGGGTTAATCTTCACCTTAACTAAACCTGTCAGGTTGTCTTTGTGCATCTGAGATTATATACCCGATTAACAAACATACCTTTGCAAAACAAAGTAATTTCCCCTTTTTTGGGCCCTCAAAGCACAGAGCTGAGGCCACAAACCCCCTCATTATCGTTGTTATGGTGTTAATTGTCCACTATCCTGCACCCACCTAAGTAAAAGCAGTGAGTGTCTATTATTTTACTTTTTACCCAATCCCAGAGATTTCCCCACTTTCCTTTCTCCCACCTCCCTAATTTATCACCAATGGATTTCATGTAACCCACTTATGCCTCCTCTTTTGATTGTAACGTATAAAACAAAGTGAAAAACTGCCATTCTCTGGAGCATTATCTCAATCCGTTGAGATTCTGCTTCCCGGCATGGTGTCAACAGTTTGGTTCAAATAAACTCATAATAATTCTTCGCAGTTTTGAATGTTTCTTACCTTAACAACAGGGAGGTGATAGCAGGGAGGTGGTGACAGGCTTCAACTGTCCCACTCTTCCCAGTGGCCCATGTGAGCAAGAGATAATAGCAAGAGTCAGAAGTGAGGGAGAAGCTGCAGAAAGCCTGTAGGTAGAAGGACCCTGGTGTCCCGACAGCTAATGAATGACCAACAGCAGTGCAGTGGGACAAGGACTCTCTGAATATACTGGCCATACTGGGAGATCCTCAAGGGCAGGATGCCTCCAGCTGTCCCCACTCTCAGACACCACATGGCCACCTTGAACTTAGACCTGGCCCCAGGAAAAGTGAATTTATAGAATTATCTGTTGATTGAAGTTTGCTTTGTGCCACCTGGTGGAAAGAGGCTTGCATGCCTTTCCCCTGGGCTGCTGTAACAGATGACCACAAAATGGGTGGCTTAAAACAACAGAAATCTATTATTTCACATTCTGGAGGCCCAAAATCCAAAATCAAGGTGTTGGCAGGGCCAAGCTCCCTCTGAAGGCTGCAGGGAGGGGCCTTCCTGCCTCTTCCAGCTTCTAGGGGTGGCCAGCAGTCCTTGGCCTTCCTTGGCTTGTAGTCACACCATTTTAATTTCTGTGTCTGTCTTCATGTGGCCTCCCCTGTGTGACTGTCAAAATTTCTTTCTTCTTATAAGGACACCAGTCATTGGATTAGGGCCCACCCTATTTCAGCACGACCTCATTTTAACATCTGCAATAACCCATTTACAAATAAGGTTA